TTAATAAAAGAAACAAAGAAATAACTAGGAAAGATTCATAGTGGTAAGGGAAGAATTTTTATTTTATTTTTGTATAAAAGATTTATTTTAACAGTTAAAGGAAACTGTTTTGTTACTGCTTTATTGTTGGCAAGCAAAAATATTGATTGCTATAATAAAGTATTTTGTTGTCATGTACAATGTTTGGCGAAATTCTGTCCTGGATCTTTTGGATCTTTTCAAATTATGAAGCTTTAAAAGTATCGGTATCGATATCGGTGATACTGGCCCTGTTTTTACTTGGTATCGGATCGATACCAAAATTCCCAGTATCGCCCACCTCTAATGAAGAGAAACTTTGTCTTTCAGAACAGTATCAGATTTATAAATAGCCAAGAAGCATTGTTACTACAAAGTAATAATCTACCAAACACACATTTCCTTACTTTTTGTGTGACGTTTGGAAACTTTTTTCCTGCATTTTCCTCCTGTTCTTTTCTTTTGTTTGTTTGTGTGTTTTATTGTTTTTGATTAGCTTTTTTTTCACATTATTGCAAAACGATGTGATGTCATTTCCTGCTTTTAGCTCATTCATTGACGGAAGTTTGTCCTAAGGATGTGCTTACAGTAGAGTGTTGCCACAACAGACAATAACCCTGATGTAGATGTGTTTTTTTTCCATGAAAAATAAAAGCATTTTAAAGATTGTTCCCTCAAACTCCATTAAGAGTTACTTTGACTTTTATCTGTTGGCTACTTGCCTATTTTTAATTTACAGTGATCTTTGAATTTATGCTAACAAGCAACCAAAAAGTGTGTCAAAGTAACTGATAAGACAAACATGCACTAAGATGAAACACCTTTTGGTAAGAAAACTGGTAATAAAATAAGATTGGATGGTTGTTCACTAATAAACAGCTAATATGGCATCATGCACTTGTGAAACAGTATAAATAAATATCAGTATTTTTCTCTGACCTTGAGAATCCATTGGCCTTGTGGCTGCTCCCCCCAACAGTGCACTGTCATCAGGGTCCAGTTTTTTAGTCCTGCAGCGGAGGCATCATTGGGTCGTGTGTCCAACAGCAGAGACACTGTGCCTCCTGGAGACTCCAGACTTATGGAGAGRTCACCGCGACACACTGCGTTAATACTCACTGTCACCTGATGAGAAACAGGTGGCAAAAGGTAAGACAGTGGAGAGGTGTGAACAAAGAATTTGCTTCTAAGGAGGGAATGTAAGGAGCAAAAAAAAAAAGAAAAAAAAGAAGAAAAGTCAACATAAAACTTCTCCTATGATCTCTGTGATTACATCAATTAGATATTTGTCAAGTAAAAAGCTGTTAAAATAATTAATAAAACTTCTGATTATCAGAAATAAAAAAGTATAGTAGCTTAAACTTCTTGCAGCAGCTACCAAAGAACTTTTTTTTATTTGACCGTTATTTGTACAGGCGATCTCCTTGAAACACGAGGTCTAATTCTCAGGAGACGTGCTTTAAAAAGTAAAGATGTAKTCACAGACTAAAAGAATGTCGTCTGTAGTTGTGGGGAAAATGTTTGACTTTATATCATAAAATTACCCTTTCATTCTATGTGTTGTCTTAGTTTATGATCAGCAGTAGTATGTTTTTAAACTAAGTTATGTTAATTTTCATTAAGTTATGCTAAATTTTAAAGCAAGGGTATCACTTATGTGCCAGTTATAAGAATTCTACGTCATTTTGCAGGTATATAGATGTAGAGAACAATCTCACAGACTTTTTCAAGTCTTACAGATC